TATAATGAATTAATCTCTTTTTGTTTGAGATTGAATGAAAATTAGCTTTATCCACTAGAAGCAGCTTTTCTTTTTTCCCCTCAAAAACATGGGGGAATTTCTCCTCAGGCTGTAACAAGGACAGGTGGAGTGAGTGGCTCGCAGAACCTCTTGCCTTACTGAAAACTTGACTTTGAGCGGAAAAAAAAAGTTCGAAAACCACTGCCTCAGGAGGAGAAAACAGGGAGGCTGTTTGGGCTAGTTTATTGTGATGATTCAGGATTCATTATCCATTCCACAAATATTTATCGAACGCCTACTGTAGAAACTTCATGCAGTGGAGCTCAGGATACGGCGATGTCAAACAAAATTTGACTTATTAAAAATCCCAGCCAGTAAAACAACTGGATGGGAAATAAGAGGATGAGGCCTGACTTCTGAGGACCAAGTGTGGATCAATCTGGCTAAAATCATGTCTGAGTAATTTGCCCCACTTGATGGATGATAAAAGAATCTATGCAGGACTTTAGTAGGAGTCAGTTTGAAAGAATAATTATTACAATATGTGCTAGAAAAGGACGATAATAATAGACCATAAAAAAAAAACCATGGCTCTTGACTAATACATCAAGCCAGATCATACTGGCTGATAAAAGTAACGAAGCCTACATGGTACAGTGGTACCATTTAGTAAAACTATTGCAGACACCTACAATTAGAATTAGCAAGGGAGTGTTATTTGCCAAAGATAAATGTGGGAACTGCAAAGCATCACAATAAAGCAGTTGAGGTTTATGCACTCATCTACACACCCACTCACCTTAGACCTCATTAATCACTTAACCTTATTTTATATTAGCAACTGTCATTTTACCTTAAGAATTTTATTTCAGTGTTATGTTGCCAAATTATTTAGTCTAGATTTATTATAGAGCATGTAATAGATTGATATAGACTCATTTATGTTTAAAAAAATAAACTAATAAAATGGCAGTAGTAATGCAGTAGAATCTATTGATGACTAAATTATAAATGATTTGAGGACAGACTTTGTGTTTCTCCTGAGGCATAATTCTTTTCCTGACATGTCTCAGTGGATATCAGATTGCATGCTCATATTTCTCTAAATGTAACATCCACATCATGGAGGCTCAATTAGGCAGGGTAATCTATATCGCTGAGCTTTGTTATATCTCCAAGTATTATCATTATAGTGTATCGCCAAGGTATTTGCTGCAGTTTGTATGCAAATTGTAACTGGTAAGTAAGATCAGGTAGCCAATGTTGATAGCAAACAGAATTGCTAAGGTATTAGCTGATGGGCTTGAATTTGGGGGGAAGTCAGCATTTGGGAAGAGAGTTGGCATTATAGTAGAAAAGAATTTCTTCTCATACTTGTGTGCCTGAGTTTGGTCAGTCTCTTTCCTCACTTTGGCTTATTTTAATGAATCTCCTTAAACTTTTAGCAGTAATACTTCCAGTCTTCACAAATTCTTCTTCTTGGACAGTAATTTAATTATTATCATTAATTACTATCTTCAGATGCAGGCCACAATTGTATATGTATAGAATTTTTCCATTTCATGTCTTGTAATCTTAATGTTGATAAAGAGGCATTTTTTTAATGTTAGAAAATAAAGGGGTCAGGGATATAGCTCAGCAGCACAGCGCCTGCCTGGCAAGTGCAAGGTCCTGATTTCGATTCCCCGCACCAAATGAATAAATAAATAAAAGATTGGTAAACAGAATCAAGAAGACAGATTAAAAAAATAAGAAAATAAACCTCTCAAGTATTATCTAAGAAAAATTCACCTAGATAAACATGGGAGTAATTTATAATTTTATAAGTAGGGACTAGAGTGAGATTTCAACGACACTTGCCCACAGACCTCTTCTACTTTCAAACATACTTATTCACCCCTTTTCTCTGTAGTAGGCTCCCAACAGAGCAACAATAAGTCACAAACGTGAGGCAGTTGAGTGTTGATATTGACACCTTCTTGTAAAGGAGAGGACATTGAGGCGTGAAGTAGTTAAATGATCTGGCAGTGGTCAGCTAGACTGGGCCCAAAGAGACAGAGAAGTTCCAGAAAAGCGTTTGAAACAATTTACTAGAAAAACATGACATATTTAATTAATGGGTAACCCAGTTACTCTGTTGTTTATTTTGCCTTTAATCAAAATCATTTCTCAGCTTTAAAATCACTCTTCCTTTTGAGACTTAGAAGTAAATTGCTAATATTCACGGTAGGGGAGGGATGCTTTAAGATCAGCAATGGTAAAATCCAGTGAATAGTGAGACACAAGAAGCTATTTTAGTTGCTCACAACTTTGCTCAGACAAGGGCAGCAGAAAGATCCCAAAGATATATGTGTTTTCTCTTCTTCATCTAAATGTAATTCAGTGAAGTGACTATAAGTACAAGAAACATCTTATAGATATTATGAGTAGAGGAGAACATTCAAAGCGTTCAACTACTAAGAAATGATACAGTTTAAAAAGTGGAAATACTAATTACTTGATTTCATCATGACGTATTGCACAGATAGCATTAAATTTTCACACTGTATTCAATAAATGTGTACAACCCATGGGAAATCCTGCCAAGAGTGAAAGGGTATTATTCTGTGAAAACTGCATGCTTTGGAAAGAGTTTGCAATTTTAAAATTTACAAATTTTGTTTCTTAGTATGTAACTAACAGTGTAAGTGTTATGGCTTTGTGTTTCAGAATGAAAGTAGGCATGTGTATTATATTTTATTACAGATAGTGCAATAGTTTTTGGAGGGAGAAGTATAAAGATGTATAAAATAGACTTTGTTTTGGTGGCAAGAGAATGAAACTTCCTTCAGCAAATGGTCACTTTTGCCGTGTCTCCTAAGCAGAACTCTCTTCCAGAGTCAAGGTGCCTTGGGAGACCTTTTAGAATCAACCACAAGTAGCATTTTATTTTATTTTATTTTATTTTTTTGCAGTACCAGACATTGAACTCATGACCCTGCACTTGCCAGGCAGGTGCTTATGCCACTGAGCTATACCCCCAGTCCACAAGTAGCATTTTAAAGAAACAAATTACTTTCTGTGTACAGAGTTAAAGTAGTACCTTTTAATTCAATAACAGAGAATATATCATTAACAGCACATGTAACACATATGTACATTGAACTCTAAAATTGATTTTTAAAAGTATGACTTAGAAAACTACATTGTGTAGCTTAAATTTTCATAGTACTCATGATTTTTTTCAAAATCTGTGTTGCTGGGAGGAGTGCTACAAAACTGTGTATACTGTATTGGCTTTGGAGGATTTGCAAAAATAAACTACACTCAAACTTTGCCCAGTGGACATTTAAAATGGAAACTTCATCTAAAAAGACTATAGTATAATTTAACATATGTCTGATTATAAGGTTTTGCTCCTTAAAACTACTTTATTTTAAATAATTTATCTAGATCAAAAAGGCAGCATTCCTAGCTTCATGTTAATTTCAAATCAATTTACAAAGCCTAATTAACAAAATATCCAAGGTGCACTTGCTGGATTCTAGATATCCTCACACAGCTTGGATAATTTTTGCTGGGGCCTCGTTGAACAGTTGGAAAAGGAGTGTAAGACCACAATTATCCACTGAATAGTTTGATTAAACTGGTCCCAGGTTTAATTTGAATAGCTTGGAAATCCTCAAGCTAGCTGGGTTGATCCTGAGGGAATCATTGCAAACATTGTTCAGGGTTGACCCTCACATTGAAGATTAGTGTCCCATTGGCTGCTGTCTCTCTTGCTGTCCTAGTGATCAGCCTCAACAGCTTTTAGTGAGGATAGGTGGGTGGGGTGTACGTTGCTTCGTAATCTCCTGGGAAGGTGGGTTTTGCCTGGCAATCCATCTACAGGTGGATCTCAACATCCACAGGCGAGATTTCTGGAGCAACATTTTGATGGCCTTTTTCTTCAGTACGCACTCAAGAAAGCACAGTAGGGACCCACACTAGTGGTGCCAATGGCCTTCAGCAAAGTAGGACTTGGGGACTGGCCTGGAAAGGGCCTCTGAGCCACTGAAGCAGGAGATATTTATAAATTTCTGTTTTCCCTCTTTCCTCTCCCCCTGACCCTTCAGATTTATGAGGAATCCAAGATGAATTTGGAGCAGGAGAGGCCCTTTGTCTGCAGTGCCCCTGGATGCTCCCAGGTGAGTGAATGGCTCCTCCCCGCTGTGGCTGGCAGTGAGTACATCTGTCTACATCTGTCTTCTGATCAGAAAGCAACTCTCACCTTGCAGGGTGCCCAACCTGGGCTCTCCTTCCTTACCAAGAGTCTTCCTCATCGTTACCATTACCATCAACATCTTTACCACTACTATGTTCTGCTTTAAATAGTTTGAAACTCCCCCCTCCTCCAGTATAACAACTTTGGGCATTTTCCTTTGTAACTTTCTGTGGAACCAAGTCAGATGCATCCTGCCCACCAACTAGCTACACAGGACTCTCATTTCAGAAAGGAGATAGGGGTGGCTACCTTCACAGGAGCCATTTAAATAAAAGCTAGGCCAATGGAGTACTGGTAAAGTGGCTCACCGTCATAGATTGAATTTTACCTTTTTTTTGTTTTATCTCTGAGTAAAAGGACCCCTCCTTTTCTAGAACTTACACTTTTCTGAGGTACTTAAATTTTAAGAAGGGAAGATGTCCTGCCATCCTGGATTGAATCTGTTCATTCTGATGCCTGTCATAAGTGGGAATAGTGTGGGGATCAGATGAGATACTGCCTGTATTGTGTTTAATATAGAACCTGAACATAAAAAGCATTCAGTCAATATCCATCCTTACTACTATTACTGCTGGTGCTGCTAAGACTGTTACAATGAAATGTAATTCTTTCAAAGAAATTAGAAATGCCCATAATCTAAAATCAGAGTTTTGCATTTTATTTTTGGAGCATGATGGTGACTTTTTCTTCTCTTGACCTTTGGATATCTCCAAGTTCTAGCTTCCACATGTGTGGAAAATGACCACATGTGTTCCCTTTCATGCCAAGATCTTTATTTATGGGATATAAGAGAGGTTTAGAACTCAGAACATAGGCATTTTCCTAAGTTACACCCTTTCCTTAAAGTGTTCAGTGGTTTCATGGAAACCGAATCCCATCAGGTGGCTGTTTATGTAATGCGTTGGCAGTACTGTGCGGAGCAATGCCTAGGAATCAGGTGAGAGGTAATGCCCATTAAGGACCTTCCTTATTATAGTATTTCCCTGGAGAGTTCCTGGAGGATTCTGGAGGCTTCTGAAGGGAAGAAGCCACAGAAACGCAAGATGTTGTTGCCAGTATTATCAGCTGCTCACTGAGCAACCAGACTCCTCTGCTCCAGTTCTGGAAGTTTCACCAGGATCTTGGTGCCAATCTTTATTTCCAACCTGTAAATAAGAAAAGCAGTAGAGAAAATTATTTTGAAGCAAGCTGGTTTTGAAGACATAGAAATCACTAGGAAAATACAGGTTGATAAGTAACGGGAAAATCCTGCTAGGCCAGGACTGTCCATGGTGAATGCAGAACAACACCTCACTAAGTTAAAAGTTGGTGTCTAACTAAGGGAAAAATGACTCCCACTCAGTCTGTTTAAAGGAAATCAGGTATTTTGTGAAGTTTGCTTTCCTTTGCTATGACAATGGGACATTACATTTCATTCAATTTAAATTACTCAGCATACTTTTTTGGGAGCCCAGGATGGGTCAGGCACTCTGGTTGCCTGGAAAAATAACAGCTGACAAGACATATGTGTCCCTACATTCAGACAGCTTCTAGTCTAGGTATCAAATCTGTAATCACAAGATCAATTAATCAGATAGTCTGTCTATTTCAGCTTTCACAAAAAGATCATAGGTCATCCTGAGGCATAGAATAAGGGGATTGACTTGGGAAAGTGAGTGGGAACATGCTGTAAGGAAGGAACACTTAATGGGATGTGCTATCCAGAGACCCACCTAAGGCAAAAGAGTGCTTAGTGTAGACTGGGAGTCTCATCAATGTCAGAGGTTGTGAGTGACACTGTCGTACAGGAGAGGATTTTAAGGAAGGATAAGGCCAGATGTGGTGATAGGTTCCTGTAATCCCAGAAATTTTGGAGGCTAGGACACTAAGATGATAAGTTTTTTTTATTAGTATATGTTTGTAGTACATGATGATTACACAGAAACACTTAATCTGCTAGAAGATAAAATAAGTAAAATTCTTAAAGTCATAAGCATATACAAAGACTTTCTGAACAGAACCTCAGTTGCACAGGAAATAGTACCAAGACCAAATGAGATCATATCAAATTGAAAAGCTTCTGTACAGCAAAAGAAGCAACAAACAGAATAAGCAAACAACCTACAGAATAGCATTGTGAGTGTAAGGCCAGCCTGGGCAACATAGCAAGACCCTATCCTTACTATCTCAAAAAAAAGGAGAAGGAGAAGAAGAAAGGATCATTGGTCCCATTTGATATTTAGGTGAGCCAAAAGAAAGAGAATTTAGAACTAAACACAAATCATCAGGCTAATGTGGCAGAATTCCCCAAGCTTGGCACCATTACATGTAGGGCTGAATAATTATTTGAAGGCCATCCTGTGCATTGTAGGACATTTAATAGCATCCCTGGCTTCTACTCACCCAATCCCAGTAGCACTCCACAGCTGTGACAAACAAAGACATTCCCAGACATTGCCAGCTGTCCCCTGGGAGGCAGATTTGCCCTTGGTTGAGAATGACTGCTGATAGCTTGCATGTTGGTTTTAGTCTCACTTCTTTTTCTTTTTGGCTCACCTCCTTCTAACTGATGTGCTCCTTCTCTATTTTATGTATTACATGAAACCGTCTTCTCTCCTTTTGGAAGTCAGAAAGGGTATAAATAAATTTATGCCACAGACATGTGGTCACTGGTGTTAGACACCGGGAGAGCTGGGACAGTTAGAGGACTGAGCAGAGGCTGTTGGATTTGGCAGGAGAGGAGTGGAGGCCAGATTGCAAGGGATTAATGAGTGAGTGGGCGGTAAGGAAGCGGAGGTGGCAGGCATAGAGGACCCTTTCAAGAGCACTAAGCAGTGACGGGAAGCAGAGTGAGCTAATGGTAGCCTGAGAGGGAGGCAGCTTTTTTAAAATTAAAGGATAGCCAGGCTGGATTTAGTAAAGGGCAAGAAACCAGTGAAAAAAGGGAAGACGTGAGCATGGGTGCTCCAGGGACCCATCCCCAGAAAACAGTGATACTGTGCACAAGGGTGCCTGTACATTTCTTGCTCTGAGGCAGGAGGAGATGGAAGGAGAACCTATGAAGTCACATGCAAATTCTGAGGTGTAGGAGGTAGTAAAGGTTGAATAAGGTCTATTTTTAAACTATACATCAGAAAGCCTTCTATTTAACGTTTTGCAGTGCTGGGGATTGGACACAGGGCCTTGGGCATGCGAGGCAAGCAAGCTACCTATGAGCCACACCCCAGCCCTGAATAAAATCAGTTGTGAATGACCTTGACCATCTCAATGAAGAAGCAGATTATTTCCTTAAGAAGGCTGAATGGACTGAGAAAAAGTTTGGACAGAAATGAGGAATGACAATTTACAAAGTTTTCTTGATTCTAAGGAATCGTTCCAAGCCTCTTTGCCTCCAAGCTTTAAATAAAAAAATGTATCTAAAACTTAATGTCTTTACTTGATGTAGAAGTGTGTTATTCCTGTCAAGCTAGTATAAAAACATATCCATCTTTCAATCAAAGAGTGGTTAGAATTAAGAAAATGTAGTAGTCACCCAGTAGTCCCAGGAGTCTTCTGGTGGGATGTCAGCCCCTCACAATTAGGTCAGTCGGTGTGATCATAGTATTTACTTTAGTGTTATTCCATAACCCAGGAACTTTCAGGAAGAGGAAGAATGCTGGGAATTGGAAAGAGGAATGAGTATCATAAAACAAACTTTTGTTCATTCAGAAATCTTCATAATTACCATGCTTTGCAAATTTTTGCTTTCTAATTTATACGATACAAAAGAGAAGTAAATAATTCACATGCAAAGAAGTACTTTTAGACTATTTCAGAGAATGTAGCCCAGTGAAGCCTTCATTCTCTTAAACATAAATCCATATTATTTGCAGGAATGATTTCTACTGTAATATACAAAGATAATTGAAACTATCTCAAGGAAATAAAAACTTTCATTTTTGTATATTATGAAGGATTTAGAAACATTCAGCAGAATTTATTCTTTTGTTGTATTTTTATTTGACATTGATGAAACAGATACTTGGTTAAATTCAGTTATTACAAACATACCAGTCAGAGTCAGGTTAGGCCAGGGTATGCTACCATAACAAATTACCCTAAAGCTTCACTGACTTAAAACAGCAAAAGTTTATTTCTGTGTCTCAAGGATACATTCTTTTTTGTAGATTGGCAGGAAGCTTTTTGCAATCTTTTAGAATTCATAAATGTTCCTTATAATCCTTTAGAGATTTAGGATGATTGAGGGGTGACTATTTCTAATGTTTTGAGTCTCCATGCTACACGAAGAATGGGGTAGAGGAATGATGGAGGATTTTACAGCAGAAATTAGATGCGGGCCTCTGGATAACCAGTTGCTTCTATGCATGACTCAGCGGGAAGAGGTAGTCACATGGCTCCACCCAACACAAGAGGGCCAGAAAATTCAGTTCCAGCAAGTGAGCAAAAGTCAGACAGAGAAAAATATTTGGAAACCATATTTTTAACAATCATAATATCATTCCCTGAAAATTAAAATAAAATATGGGTTTACTCTACAACACAGAGTACAGAACACTAAAAATAATTTGTCATATTACTATAAAATTTTTGTATGATTATAAACAAAATCAGATAATGGGTAGGCCAGATCTTTGTAAACAGAAACACACTATACAAATGTCATGGTGTACATTTCTCAATATGTCAAATAATTAAGCACGGTATATAATTATTTCCCAAAGTCTGACATGAATCCAAATTCTTTTCTATGTTATGCATTTCTCCTACTTTTGGTTAATCTATAGATAATGTCTAGCATACTTATCATGCCTTAGACTTAATTTCACACTATTATGTAAAACAGTAACTACTAGAGAAAAGTTCCATATGGTTTTGCAAACTCCCAGTGCTCTTTAGGTCTAAATTCACTCTCTTATTTTGGATATAGTGTTCTGATATTCAAAAGGAGAAATACGAAAAGTTTAGTTTTGCGTGTCGCCATTATTAGCTATTTTTTGTTACCAGAAGTAAATATTCATTTGAAACCACTTTCCCCCTTTTCTAAAAGGCTGCTTGATATTAGGCAGTGTTAGGGCATAGCATTTTTTACTGTATACAAGGGGTGATCGAAATATATAGTGAATATTTAATTTTTTAAAAATTTAAACTTTCACCATATTATGTGATCACACCTTATTATGTTATTTTTGTTTGTTTGTTTGTTTTGGTTTTCTTCTGGTACTAGGAATTGAACTCACAACCTTGCACTTGCCAGGGGGCGCTGTGCCACTGAGCTAAATCCCCAGCCCCCTCATTATGTTATTTTAATGCCTTTAGGTGCACACTTATCCATTTCTGTTTTATCCTAAAATGCAAATGCAAAATTTAAAGTCTACCCTCAGATGAAAACTTCTAGCTCCTAAGGAAATATATAATTTTCTAACTAGTCAGCATGTCTGGTTATATCGATGGACTATTTGAAAAGCAGAGGCCTTTGAAAAGTTTCCAGGGAGGGTGTGGGGAGTCAGAGAATGGCTAAAGACAAAGACGTTCTTAACGTTAGCGCCTAATCAGATTCTTCTGCAACATAGGTAACCCCTTTGGCAAACTGGAAGGAAATTACAATGCACGTATTTATGTGTAATTGAAAGGAACATCTCAGAACATTTGCTTGCTTAAAACAGCTTGTAACTTTGCTTACTTACGTTTTCTCACTTTTTCAGGCTGAATTTTTTGTTTTGTAATACTGTCATATTTGCGATATTGAATAAATGCGTGTCTTTATGATGGCAAATATGTGCTACAAAACTGAATGTCTCCTCTCTTTCTCCCCCTCTTTTTTTTTCTATTTGTTCAACAGCGCTTCCCAACAGAGGACCATCTGATGATTCACAGGCACAAGCATGAAATGACTTTGAAGTTTCCCTCCATAAAAACAGACAATATGTTATCAGGTAAGGAGCCCTTGGGCAAAGAGACTTTGAGTGACTAGATCAGTTTTATGCAAGGTACTTCCTCTCTGTTTGATTCCCATGGACAACTTCTGTACTTTGAAAGTATACGTATCTAAGTTATTGTATAAGTGTAATCAGCTAATGTCATGCTCACCCAAGTAATTGAAGAACTATGATGTGAAATATCTATTATAGTGAAACTTGGCTCCATATAAGTTTTTTTTTTTTTTTAAAAACTCACAGCAGATCATTCAAGTATCACATATTAACTGAACATTTATAAGGCACATTGTGTTATTCACTGTGTTATAGGAGATACACAGATTGATTTGCCTCTGGTCCTTGAGGACATCATGACAGAGCTTACATATGAAAACCTAACAAAAATGCTGTAGAAGTTCATGTGAATATACGTCAAATGAGTATTGTAAGGGGAAAATGCTATGCATCTTTTGTGGAAGGAGCTTGTTCTCAAGATGATCAGTGAAGTTTTCTTTAAAAACAGTACCTGCCTCAAGAGTGGGAGAAATTAAATGAAATTGTACATGGAAACATAGCAAATGCTCAGTAAACGTGAGCAGAAAATTAATAATAGTAATGATCTGTCAATTCCTTGCCATTCCTGCACATTTTGAGAGGCACTGCAGTGAATTAGAGAGTACAGGGGTAGGAGTAGAAATCTGAACTCTAGCTTAGACTCTGCCTCACCTGGACACATGACTTTGACGAAGTAATAGAACCTTTCTAGGCTTCAGTTTCTTTCTCCATAAAATGGAATGATTATATCTGCCCTTTTATTTCACAAGTTTATTAAGAAGATCCAATGAAATAATGTTAGAGTTTCATAAATGCCAGCAGGATAATCCAATGATTTCTGATGATTCTTCTCCCTGGCATCATGAAAGATGTAAGATATCTATGAACAAATTTAACTGATATCAGGAGAGAAACTGACTTCTCCGGCAGGTGTGCCTTTTATGATTTAGCATTTTGATGGCTCTTAAATTTTATTTATTTTATTATCAGTATTACTAGTCAATATTCTGAGTAGCTAGTATTATCAGAAGCTTTCCTGACTCACCAAACAGGGCGAGGTGGAGAGCCCTGGTGCGCAGACTCCATGGCCAGGCTGTGCCTGCTTACATAGTCCTGGTGTCAAGCTGTTCCCACAGCTTCACAGACCCACCAACGACTTGAGAGTGCCTGTAGCAGACTCTGGCATTCAACAGCATCATCTGCCCTTTCTTCTACCACCACCTGCCTTTTCTGTCTCAGCCCCTGTTTGGTTTGGAATGAGTCAGGTCTTCAGCTACTGCTTCCGCTTTCCCAAAGTCTGCAGAGCTCCTATTTATAAGAGTTATGAGAGCCTGGAAGGGTCAAAAAGGATGACTTTTCTTTGTGCTTTCGTCACTTACTATGTTCTGCAGAGTCACATGTAGTAGTTCAGCACTGGACATAGAAGCAACAAGGCTGTAGACTCTGCATTCCCAACTTTTAAATTCTCAAATTCTTCCTCTATTTTTCCCAAACTAAATTCCTAAAATAGACTGCCTGGTTGCAGAGGAGCAGCAGGGGAGTATTAGAGAGTGGCAAATATGCGTGACATTGCCCACATAGTGGTAAGTGGCAGCGTAGTGTCTTTTAGTCAGACTGCCAGTCTGACTAAAAGTCTGGCCTTACAAGGAGCCCTGAGAACAGATCTGAGAAAATAAAAGGCAGCTAAAGATGTGTGAACAATGGGTGAAACATTCCTCTACATACTGTGTAAAATAAACTATGGATTCATCTCTTGCAAACTTTCGATTGTTTTACCAGATCCTTGTTAGTTGGTGGCTGTTGAGGCGAGTCGTTGGAAGTTCGACCTGGCAAACTATTAGGAGAAAAGGAACTCTAATTTTTACTATGTCAAATTGGAATAAGAAAATGAAGGGAAAACAAACATGAAATCTGAACAAACATGGAATCTGAAGAAGAAAATATGCTCATATATATAGTTTGCAAAATTACCAGCTACTATGTGAGATAGCCATTCAATTTGAATACCATGGTCAATTTTCAGAATAGAGGTAAAAAGATGGTTTTTAAACTTATTTTAATACTATTTTGATTAGCACCCAGGAGTTCCCAAATTTGGCCCTGTTAAACATCTCCACCTCTCCCATTTAACAGCAGGGTTCTCAGGTTTGGTTCAAGAAGAAAAAAAATCCAAAACAAAACCAAGTTTCATAGAGTAACTTTATTTTTAGCTGAGAAGACAATTTTTATTCCAAATGAAAATTCCAATTGGAGGACAAAAAGAAACTCAAGAAACTTGACTGAAGCACATGGCCCCTCCGCAGGGTATCTTTCTTCCCTGCAGTAAATCGAGGACCAGCAAGTTCTGTCTTTCCTGGGGAGAGTTTTGTTGTTATCTCTCTTCCTCCACATCCTCCTAGAGTGCAGTAAATTCCATGAGAAAGGGGGAGCTCATAAGTCTGTTCAGTTCAGGGTATTTAGCATCTAGCCCAAAACAATCTTTGTAGGCACCCAATAAATGCTGGATGAAAGAATGGTGGTGGAAGGACAACTTCAACCCCTCTGTCCACATCTGGATGGGTGTGCTTGCATCAACTTCCTTCCATGCACAGACCAGTTATCTGCAAGATTCCCTGGGCCATGATGCCAGGAGTGGGATTACAGACATCTGAAGGCCTGATCCCACTTGTCTGGTAACACACATGCTGCATGTGCAGCCTTACTTTGGAGGATGGCCCCATTTTATGGGGCAGCATGATAACAGTAATAGCTACCATTTTTTGCCTTACTTTATGCCTGTAATTGTGCTCTGTACTTTATATACCATATGTTATCTAATACTCAATTGTTTTTCCATATGATGCAGCAAGATAAAAGAGATAAATAGTTGGTCCAAACTTCTTGTATGTCTATAAATGTCTTACTCTACAGCTAGATTTGGTGAGCTACACATACTGAGAACATGTACACATTTTGGTCTTATGTTTGGATATAAATCGATGAACTGCTTTATCTCATACTGTTGGCTTATTTCCTCAATAGTCATCAAGTGGAGCACATAGTCAAACATTTTAAAAAGGAGATTCTACTAATACATTAGCATTGCAAGGAACAGATTGCGCTCACCCACTGTGACAAGTAGGATGCAAGTGGCTATTCACTTTTATAGTAGTTGTTAGATTCTCATCTATGTTTCAAGTTGGTCAGGCAAATGGAATTTTGAATAATTCACCTGAAAACTTCTGAGGTCTTACTCTGAAGCATACTGAAAAACTGGCTTGCAAGTCTCTATTGCAACTGAAAACGAGTTTTTTTTTTCCTTTTATTTTGGATAAAGAATGTAGGAGAACCCAGGTAATTGTGTACTAAGTGGAAACATTAAGCTTTAGCTTTCTTCTATTCAGGGCAGATTTTGAAAATAAAACCATGTTGGATCCCTTAATTCACTCTGCCAAAAGAGATATGATCTCATAGCATTAATAACCCTTCTTAGCAGCCCAGCTCCTCTAAAGCAGATTAAAATCATGGCTTGATCGCTGTTGGAACACTTGGGGTAGCTGAGGGTTGATGGAGAAGGTGCAGAATATATACTTGTTTATTGTAAATCCAAATATATGCCTTTTAGAGCCAGGTGGGCATATATTGTGACACATACCCTTGTCGGCACATTTTCTAAATGACTCATTTTCTAAATGACTTACACAGTACCTGGCCCACCAGCTCTTCATGTTGGTGATAAATGGATTCCAGCATAGGATTCAAGAGTGTGAGTTTGTTATGCCGCCCAGGGTGGCCTTGAACTTGTGATTCTCCTGCTTTGGCCTCTCAAGTTCTGGAAAAGGATTATATATTTAAACTTTCATTTAATGTAAACTTTTAATTAGGACTATATTAAAAGGAAGACATGAACTAAGAAAATATTTCAAAGAAAACATTTCCTGAAAAAAGTAAAAAGATAAATATAACTAGGAAAAGAATAATACAGAAAATGCCTTTTTGGAGAGCCTTAACTCTTACTAAAATTGACATACTCGTTATAATTCCTTTGCTGTTGATTGAGACACCCCCTTGAGAAATTCCATCCAGCCACATTGTTTTGGCTGAATTTGAGTCATGAAAATAATAAAAATGCATTTTTAAAAAATACTTTGTAATTAGAATGCTCATGAATTGAAACTAACATTTAGAGTAACTGACCTGATATTAGTGAGTATTTTATTGTATTACTAGCTACTATCAACTTCATATCAAATAATGTAAAATTACTTGAGATAGTTCTTTAGTGATACCATACATAGTTGAAAATAAGAGATCAATAAAAAAGAAAGCTGCTTAGGAATCTAATATTCCTCTCTGATATATTATGGGCTCCCCTTATACACTTATTTTTAAATTGAGGACTTTTCTATTGCTTATTTTTAATCACTGGGGAAAATGAAACATAGACAAACATATAACTCAAATGCAGCTCTGAAACCAAGTAGGACAGAAATTTTTATTAAATGTAGAATGGACTACACACTTTTTCAAAGAAGAATCATGTTTTGGAGTTTAACTTTGTGCTTGTCCTTTATTTTTACATTGCAATAGTCATATTTGCTGGAGCCAAAGCAGTTGATATTAGGCAGACTATAAACTGATAAGGACCTTTGAGAGCTGCTTTACAAAAGAAAACTTTTAGCCATACCATGGTTTGTGTCACTGATAACATGGCACAGAATTTTCTATCATATAGATGAGTTCTTAAATCATAAGGCCAGTACTTAGTGCTCTTCCAGGTAGATACACAAGTAGGTTCACAACATGGCAAGTACGGTTTCCCCAGCTTTTACAAAGGCAGCAATTCAGGGAGCCAGATACTGGAATGTGCCAAACTTGCAAAGAGATTTTTAAAGGCCCTTTTAAATTATTTGGCTAATTAAATAATTTTAATTATTTTTTCTCTTTAATTGATATGTAATTGTAGATACATCAGTACATGTACACATGTATTGTGTGATACATCAATACATATATACAGTAAGTAATGATTACATCAGGGTAACTGCTATCACCCTCACTGAACCTTTTATCATTTCTTTGTGTAGAGAATATTTAAAATTCTTTCTAATAGCTATTTGGAATATTGTCATCACTTATAATTATTCTTCTGTGTTATAGAACGTTAAGGATTAGTGTTTCTTTCGAGCTACACTCCTATACCTGTAAAGTGGCCTCTCTCCAGCCCCCTTCCGCTTCCTGCCCAGCCTCCAGTAACCACTATTCTACTCTCTTCTTTTATGAGATTAATATTTTTTGCTTCCACATATAAATGGAATATAAGTGATGGTGTTTGCCTTTCTGCTCCTGACTTATTTCACTTGGCATAATGTTCTCCAGCCCCATCCAGTTTGCAGCAAATGACAGTATTTCACTCTCTTTTATTTGGTACCAATTTTTCTTGTCCAAGTGGGGTCCAAGTGTCCTGAGGATATGTGTGACAGTAAGAGAAGTGGGTAAGATTTTCTACTTATGCTTATCCCCAATACTGGGTCTCCTGGAAACCTGCTGTGCTATTTGCAAAGTCTGTGAAAAGGTAATGTGTAAGTGTTTATGCAGCACCAGTCCAATGTACAAAATAACAAAACCTTTCAACTCAGGTGAAGTTCAAACTCAAAAGTTATTTACTTTTAGGTTACTTTGAGATTTGGGGTTATCCCCTTCTCTCATTCGGATGTTCCCCACTGAAATGGAAACATTGAAAAAAAAAAAAAAGGTGAACATTAGATCTTAGACAATCATCTCATTTCAGAGTTGTTGTTGAAACCAGTTCCTGGAAGTCCTTGGAGTGTCTGTCTCCTATCGATATTGAACTAACACATCTGGGATAGTATTCACCAAAGTAGCCATTGTTATTCAGGGTGTAGAAGTTACTGATGTTGTAACTCCCTGGTATGTGCTCTTGGATCTCAGTAAGGCGTGGTTTACAAACATTTTAATTTATAGCCACGGATTTTACCCACTAACTTCAGGTCCAATTTAGTAGGAACAATAGTTTGTTGAAAGCATTCATGGTACTAAGAAACTCTGCCTTTGTTATTTAAGCAGCTGATAGATTTAGCTGTCCTTTTTGAACATTTGCACATTTCCTGGCTTACTTGGAACCTGTACTATGTGAGATCAAAGAGATATTAATTCTAATAAATGTTAAAGCAAAAATTAAGCTCCCTTTTCTGATTCTTGTTGTGACTAGAAAAAATATCTCATTTACAAGTAGATGAATGAAAACTTAGGAACAGTGAGCCTTGCATATTCCAAATATAGATATAGAGATCTACTTGGATTTTTAAAATAGCACATAGCAAAAATAAAAAACAAGTTGCGTTTCGTAACAACCCTTGAGCCATCTTCTGGGTTTATGATCTGGGGGTGAGAGGCAAGATGCTATCTCTGCTACTCTTAGCAGCCCTTACCCAATGGCTCGTATTCCTGAAAGGGCCTAACATGATGGACAATGTTACCTTACTCCTGTGCCACTCTTCCACTTTCTTCATTCACTTGTATAGTGTATGCTGACGCCTGGGAATCATTTTGCTTTAGAACACGCGAGAAACATCTCTTCACTTTATGTGGAGCCTGGCCCCTCCTCTGGCCAGCCTGCTTTTGATGTCAAGGTCCTTACCTCACAATTGCTCTAGAGTTTAGGAGTCCTTTGGAAGCTACTAGGCTGACTTTCTCTCTGCCTTGAACTATGGCCATTGACTTCTCAGTCTCTAAAAAAAAAAAAAACAAAGGAAAATTAAAACCTGGCAAACTAAATTCCCGCTGATGACAAGTGGTCTACTCTTTTATTTCTGTTGCATGGTATTTTCTCAGAGACATTCTTGTAAAGTAGCAGAGAATTGGAAGACTTGTGACGCAGTTCTTTTGTACGAGGGATCTAAATGATTCCAAGAATGGTTCCATTTTAAAGGGTCCAAGAGTTGTTAGGGTTACCAGTTATCAGTACAATTATGTGATGTAATTTCTAAATCATGCCTGAGGCATGACTCAATTTCCTCATAAATAAAATAGGGCAAATAGTTTTTGCCTATTAGTATTACTGTGAAAATTAATGAGATGATGTATGCAAAGCTTTTATCACTGCATCTGGCATAAATTAGCACCCAAGAAGAATATATATGCACACAGAGGCACACATACATACATCTTTACTTTTCTACTCTCAGAGCTTGTCTATTTATGCCTTTTATTCAGACAACTCCTTTATCTCTACCTTAATTATCAGCTGTTACTGATATTACCATTTAACTGTCCTTTGAACAGTCCTATATTTCTTTGACCTATGAACAGTGACTTTTGAAACTAACCTATTATAGTGGAGATTTTAGAATTCATATAATTCTAAAACTTTAGAATTTTACTTGAAAGATGAAGAATATGAGGTCCAGGGAATATAAGTAACTTCCCTCAGATCATGCTATTTTCAAATCCAGATTTCTGTCTGAATTGTGTTTTACACACATAACAGGGCCATTTGGACCTGGGAGGACAAAACACTGAATTTAGATTGAAAAGGCCTCCTGTCTGAAGGTCAGAGAGGACTAAATAGTAGTGAGATGGTTACAAATTGTGTGATTTTGTGAAAGGAAACATATTTTCCCATTTTTTAAAATAACATGTACCCTATTTGCCTGATAGAAATGTGTGAGACCCAGATTCTAAATAACATTGGTAAAAATGTTTGTAAACTACAAGGTTTGGCATAGATATTAATAATTATATGTATATACTGGACATATAGGTATAGACATGCATCTATCTCTTATAGATAATGCCCAGTTTGTGGTCATCCATGGTAGGCTTTCTGCAGACTACCAGGAGATCTCAGTGGCTTGGAGGTCAGGTTAGGAATGGGGAAAAATGCAGTTGACACTGCTGCACTGAAATTCAACTCAACAGTTTGGAGGCTTAATGTCCTTTTCCTATAGGTGATTGAGAGACATTGCCTTGGAAGGGCTAATTCAATGGGGATATCCAACTATTTTCTGCTCCACAGATAGTAAGATATTCTTTGGATCCCATTGGATATTTACTGATTTATTGGGATTAACTACTCTTTGTATGATTTAGAAAGTAAACATAGTTCTGGTTTCTTCTAATGCAGATATCCATAGAGTGCCGGAATGGCAAATGCCTTTCAGCTCAAGGGCATGCTTCTGTTAGCTGATGGGAGTGGCTTAGAGAACTGTGCAGAAAAAGATCTTGGGTCAGAGTGCAGGTTAGCTGGACAGACGCCACAAGCAATTTGCCAGTGTGTGCCATGGGCTTAGGTGGGGACAATACATATACACAGTGGAAATAGAACTACGGCTTTGGTTATGATCCCAGTGTCACCAAGAGACCTTGAGCAAGATCTTCAGTCCCTCTGGGATTCAGTAGCCCTCATTTGTAAAAGAAATATCAGCATGGCTAGGTTTCCTTCCACGGCCCGTTCCAGTTCTGATATCTTCTGTTTCTGAGAAGAGGCAAATTTTTGTGTCAACTCACGTGCATCCTCACCAAGGAACATGACTTTCCATAGCAACCACATGGGTATAATTCTACTCTACTTACTTTCTAGGACCTGGTGAGACTAGATTCCAGAGAACGTGTGTGAAAATGTAAACTGGAAAGGCCACATAAGTATTAAACCATAATAACAGCTTCAGCAACCCCAGTAGTAAGCGTTCTAGAAAGTTAAGAATATGAAAGAAATTCTTTTCTTTTTGAAGAGCATTTTCAGAAAATTCTTCTGGCTACGGCAAAGGAAAATAAAATTAATATTGATATTTTTAAAGGATGGAAGCTGAATGTGTTTGACTTGGAACCTTTTATTACCCCTCCGTGGTTCCCAGGATAAGATAGAATTGCTGAATTTTCTTTCTCCATTAAGAAAAAAGAATTAACATGCTTGTTTGCTTCTTTTGTTTGTTATAAAAATTTAGAAAGTCTTTCTCTTTCCAACCCCCTGAAGTCAGTCTTAACACTGGCACAGATGACTTTTTTGGCTTAAGTTTGGCTAAATCATTTTTCCCCTTTTTTATTTAAATAAGGTCATTCCACATGTAGCAACTGAATGCAAATGATATGGACTCCAGACAAGCAGAGAGTGAGATCTCCTGAGGTTGTCCAGAGAGAGGTGTGGAAAGCCTTCACATATTGCAGACATCACGGTTTTCCTGCTCTGGAGGTTATGGTTTTATTTTCTTACACATTGTCATTGTGGAAGGCTGGTAGGCATCTTTTAAGGTCAGGGGAGGATATTAATGAACTTAGCACATGCTTGCCACTGGCTTTGGAAGAAAGCCCATTCCTGATCTCTGGGCCTCTGTTTTCAGATCAGACTCCGACCCCCACGAGATTCCTGAAGAACTGTGAAGAGGTGGGCCTCTTCAGCGAGCTGGACTGCTCCTTTGAGCATGAATTCAGGAAGGCTCAGGAAGAGGAGAGCAGCAAGCGGGTAGGTTCGCTCGGGTGGAAGCCACGAGAGGCGGCCCCTGAATGCCTGCTGAAAAACTTCAGGTGGGAACTAGGTAGCCCTGCAGATTAGGTGGACTTGGAACAGAATTTAATCTATGTGCATGTGTTTGTTTAATTTTTTAAACTGATGAATCTTTGATTGTGGTAGAATCTAAAATTTAGGTAAATCACTGGAAAGATAGTTATCTAAAAAATGAAGTTCAAGCCCTTCCTTGCAAAAGTTACCTGGTTTTTAAAGGTGTATCAGGCAAACTCACAGACTATTTCTATTCTCAACCAATTGTGTTACCTTGCTAAGTGTTTAATAGCAGGACTTATGGGGGTGGTGAGTGCAGAAGAAATGACACAAAGGGCCAAAAATCAGGCAAATAATAGTAGGAAAGAGGATTTCATCTGATTTTGGCCCAGGATGTAACTGTCTTCCATAATCTTTCCAGTCCTTTTCTACCAGATTCATAATTACTTCCTGTTCATGTTACCTGGTCAGATTAGTGAACATCCATTACGGGTGAAATAAATAAGTTAGCTACAAATAGATTGGCTACACTTGTTCTTAACAGTGTAAGAAATTCACTTCATGAGACTCTTCAGAATATATTTGATTTTTATCATAGTATTGTACTGGAGTTGTAAAATCACTTTGCAGGAGTAAGGAAAGAGATGTGGTCATAAGTAAATACAACAAGGAGGCTCTTTAGTATCTTTCTCATTGCTGTCGTAGAGCGTTAGTGAATGCCCACACTGTACTAAACAGCAAATTAGACACAGTCCATGAACGGAAATGTAGGATGTGAAAGATGATTGAGGGGAAGGACCAGCTAGGTAGTAATGAATGCTGAAGTTCCAGCTGTTCCATCCACAGAAGAAATTTTAAAGGCTCTGATGTTTTTCTGAGTGTTTCAAAGGCTTTGAATCTTCCTCTATGTGAAATCATAATAATCCCCCTGCGCCAGACTTTTCTTGTCACATTCTTACATCATGATGTCCCAGGGCTTGCCTCAGTCTGTACTGCCTCAGGAAAAGTCACGAAAAGAGGGTTATAAAGTCTCAATCAACTTACTGTATTTATAATTTGTCATTTATATTTTATCATCTCTCCACTTCCCCCCTGCCAAACATTAAATGCTTTCCTCCATTTTTTCTTTCTTTCTTTTTTCTTTTTCTTTTTCTTTCTTTCTTTCTTTCTTTCTTTCTTTCTTTCTTTCTTTCTTTCTTTCTTTCTTTCTTTCTTTCCTTTCTCTTCTTCCTTCCTTCCTCTCTTTCTTTCTTTCTTTCTTTCTTTCTTTCTTTCTTTCTTTCTTTCTTTCTTTCTTTCTTTCTCTCTTTTTGTGTGCATGTATGGTATTGGACATTGAACTCAGGCAGCACTAAGCTACACCCTCAGCTCTTTTCATTTTTGTAAACTTTTAAAAAATTTTACAACAGTGCATCACCAAGTTGCCTAGGCTAACCTTAAACTTCCAATGCTCCCAATTCCACTTCTCAAGAAGCTGTGATTATAGGTGTGTGCCACTACGACTGGTCACCCTTTCCCCTTTTTTGAACAAATACTTATATAACAATTGTTTTTGTTGCCTAGCACTTTAAAAATTAACTTGATAAAATTCTATATTCTATATTAACTTGATAAAATTATATATAGATGTAATTTTATATTCTCTTGTAACAGAAGTTGAGTTTTAAAAGCCCATGAAAATGGCAAGGGAGAAGAAGAAAGTTTCTTTTCTTTTCTTTTTTTTTTTTGTCTTTTTAAAACAGGGTCTCGCTGTGCAGTTCAGGCTGGCTATGAGCTCACTTTGTAGCTCAGGCTGGTCTCAGACTCACAGCAATCCTCCTGCCTCAGCCTCCCAAGTGCTGGGATTACAGGTATGTGCTACCATGCCTGGCAGAAAGTTTCATATAATGACTTCCTTCTAGTTGAGTGATACATTTACTTCTCTTAGTAATTATATATTTATTGAAAAAGGATAGTGTCTGGTGAGTGGAGTTAAATTCATTTCTCCAGGTAATGCAAGTTAGCTTCTTAGATTAAACTGAACTGTAAGAATGACATGTACGTGGTCCATATTGACTTCATTTCTTATGGACTGGTTTGAATTGTAATGTGTGCCCTTGATTTGCC